CTTAGGCGTCATCAATCAGCGTTCCTGCGGCCGCGCGCCCGCTGCTGCTGCACGCCTTTGCTCCCGCTCCATGCGACCCGGCCGCCTGGCGAACTGCAGCACGGCAAACAACAACAACATTGGATCCATCCTCCCCAGCTAAATTTCTGCCACACCACCTCCTCACCACCCCCCCAAAGCTCAACGACCGTTCGCACACAGCCCACCTGCATCACCATCGCACGCATCTTCGAACTCGAATCCACGCGACGACGCTTGAGCCGCCGATTCTTCGACGACGCTTCATCCGACCCCAAACTCCTAACACTCGCATCCAAAATGCCCGGCGGCAAGGGAAAGTCTTCTGGTGGCAAGAGCTCGGGCGGCAAGACGAGCGTCGAGGGCCACAAGAAGCAGCAGAGCCACTCTGCTCGCGCCGGTCTGCAGGTAAGATGACGCCCTTCCCCCGGCGATGCACGACGAGAGACGACGACGAATCCGGTGGCGTGCGCGCGTTTGATCTTCGCGATCCCCTCCGCCCAGCCTCCCCGCGATGCGGCGCCGCGCGACTCGGACACATTCGACGCGTCAGCGACCTTTCCACGCCCCCCTAGCAGACTTCGACGGCACGAGCACCGAGAATCGCGACGACTCGCATCGACTACGCGTCTGCGCCGTCCGGCGACCTGGCCTTGCGAGCGACGTTCGAAGCTGGTCGCGTGTCCCGCTGGCGGGGAAGCGGAACTCGATGCGCGCAAGCCCCGGACTCCCGACTCTCGCCTCGACTCGTCTCGCCCGTCTTTTCGCGCAGCGTGTCGCCATGCTGATCAGCTTCTCCTCGCCAGTTCCCCTGCGGCCGTGTCAAGCGTTTCCTCAAGCAAAACACCCAGAACAAGATGCGCGTCGGTGCCAAGGCTGCCGTGTACGTAACCGCGGTTCTCGAGTACCTGACTGCCGAAGTCCTCGAGCTGGCAGGCGTACGTTCTCCCCGTCTCTTCTCCCATGACTCACGTTTCCCCGCCGCTGCCTGCTTACTGACGGCTGCCTGCAGAACGCCGCCAAGGACCTCAAGGTCAAGCGCATCACGCCGCGCCACCTCCAGCTCGCGATTCGCGGTGACGAGGAGCTCGACACGTTGATCCGCGCCACCATCGCCTTTGGTGGTGTCCTGCCGCACATCAACCGCGCGCTGCTGCTCAAGGTCGAGCAGAAGAAGAAGGCCAAGGCCCTCGAGGCGTAAGCCGTCGACTCGCGCGCTTGATCGTTTGTTGCCTTTTCTGCTTGCTCCGGTCGCTGTTCGTATTTCTTTATTATTTTTTGGGTCGTGGGATGCGCGTTTTACGTACGGAAAGGGATACGCGGGCTCGTTGTTCGGCTTGGTTCGCCACCCGCGGAGTAGGAGGCGCCGAGCGCAGAAGCTGGGGCCATCCAGGCTGGAGGGTGAGCCTTGGATAGCTGCGATGGAAGGGATATGGGTGTCGTCGGGCTGGTTCGGTTTGGGTGAGGGAGCTGGGACAGGCGGCAGCTTGGCCGGGCTTGGGCTCCTTTGTTGAGCCTGATGCGGCCAGACACGTGTACAAGTAATTGTTTGGGGACACACAATGGGCCACGATGGAAAGGGGGGTCTGACTGGTAGAGGACAAGATACGGGTGCTTTGCCTGCTCTGCGCTCCTGGAAGCGGCTCGCGTGTGTATGTGACCTCATGCTCGTGCTGGGGGCTTGCCACGGCGAGGCCCTGCAACGGCTCGTCCCCTCATGTCAAGAGAACGGGTGCAACAAATGTCCAATACCAGGCAACTGTATGGCCTGCTTCTTACATGGCTGTCCGCTTTACTTCGATGCCGCTCAGGTACCACGGTCCTCTGTTGAAAATCGAGTGCTGACGCTCCCATTCTACGTGGCGACCCACGGCTGTTGAATCACTAGAACTTCGTGGAAGTACCTTTGATGCTTGACTTGGTTCAATGTGAAATTTATATCTCATGGCTTGCCTGTGCACACTCCAATTTTACCCTGATCCGATCGACGTGAGCCTCGCGGCGGCGGCACTGCCCGAGCACCACCAGCCATATACGCAGAGCTCCCCCCTTCCCGCCGCCCCTTGTTCCATGCCTGCCCCCGGTCTGGAACCCTCCTCACTGGGCCATCAGCACAGCCCGATACGTGACCTGGCCCTTGTCGAGGCGGTCCAGCGCGGCGGCGATGCCGTCCTCGGTCATGGGGAACTTCTCGATGATGGGCTTGATGGTGTGCAGGGCGGCAAAGTCGAGCATCTCGCGGTGGACGGCGCGCGTGGCGACGATGACGCCCTGGATGCGGATGCCCTGGCCGAGGATGGGCATGTAGGGGAACTCGAAGTTGCCCTCGTCGACGGACAGCGGGTAGATTTGCGAGCGCGGCGCCAGCAGCGGCAGGAGGACGTCCCACTGCGGCTGGGCCGACGTCGTGACGAGGAGGCGGTTGATGGGCGACTTGGTCTCGATCTTGCTGTTGGCGCCGTTCTCGCCATTGCTCTTGCCCTCGGCGCGGCCGCCCGTGGCGATGAACTCATGCGCGCCCAGCTCCAGCGCCTGCTGCTTCTTGCGCTCCGACCCGGAAATCACCACGACGCGACAGCCCATCTTGGCAGCAAACTGGATCGCCAGGTGGCCCAGCCCGCCGACGCCCATGACGCCGACCGTCTCGCCGGGGCGGATGCCCTTGAGGGCCGTGAAGACGGTCGCGCCGCCGCACTGCAGCGGGGCGGCGTCCTCGTCGCTCAGCGAGTCGGGCAGCGGGTGTAGGAAGGCCTCGCGCCAGACGGCCTCGGTGGCGAAGCTGCCCTGGTCGGCGCTCGCGGGCATGCCGTACATGACGCGCTGCGGGCAGAAGGTCTCCTCGCCCTGCAGGCACTCCATGCAGTGCCCGCAGCTGTCCGTCTCGTAGCCCCAGCCTACGCGCTGGCCCTTTTGCAGGAACTTGACCTCGGGGCCGGTGGCTTGCACGATGCCGACGCCCTCGTGGCCGAGGACCATGTCTTGTTTGAGCTGTTTCCCCTTGGTCAGTTGAGTCTGCTCTAGGTATAGATTGTTGCCCGTGGAGAGATGTTCATGTTCTCATGCTCGTGCGGAGAGGAAGGGTGGTACTAACAAAGTGCAAATCTGGACAGAGAGTCAGTCAGAGCCAACCACAAAACACGTTGATGCCATTGAGTCGTCAACATACCTGTGCCGCACACGCCCGACGCGGTAACCTTGACGAGGACATTGTCGCCGACGAGCTCATCCGGCTTGGTCGTCGTGCTCTTCTTGGGCTTGCCGGCGTCGTTGCCCTTGAACACTGTGAAAGTCGGCATTTTTATGGTGTTTCACCCCCAATTCGGTACGCGTATCGTATTCGGCGGCGAGTCTGAGCGGGTCAGGTCGAGTTGGGTTACTCCCGCCGGTATTGTTCGTTTCGACCGTTGAGAAGAGGGACGCAGAAGGAGAAACGGAGAGAGTTGGTGAGTGTGTGAGTGTGAGAGTGTCGCTGTCAGATCTCAACGCTCGGCATCTACCATGGATCGCCGCTCTGCCCTTCCCACCCCTCCCCAGCGCGCGTTTTATATATACTACTACAGTAATGTACTGTATCGACGACCCAACAACAAAAGCTTATCAATCCGGGAAGAACCTAGCAGAGCCCACGGAGTATTCTTGACGTCATGCGCTGGGTGCCGGGCGCTGTGGGTGTCCATCTCGGCGGCCTCGGTGTTCAGCTCCATTGCGACAGCAGGTAGAGTGGACAGGGACAGAAAAAGTATGGAGCTCCCGTTGACTGTGCTACGACTATGGATACCGTCGTACGTAGTAGGTACTGCGGAACAGTTGTGCCGGGAGGCGGCTGTAAAGTCCGCGGTGCAGCAAGGCACACGGCGCCAGGATGGAGATGCGTACGGAGTAGTGGCGGAGGGGATTGATTAGTGACGATGGGAGTGTTTTCCAGCCTCGGCCTGGTCCCTCCGGGGTCCTCCCTCTTCACCTCGTTTTGTGTCGTTAGTGGCTCCAATGCCCGGAAGAGGGAGGAGATTTTCAAGGTTCAGAGCCGCAACGGCCGGTACGGGG